TATATATAGTAAGTTATATTCCAACAATACATGAGTGGAAGTCACCTTGGTCTGTTTTCTGTGCTAGCTTTGAGAGAAGGAAGCTCCAAGTACAACGTTAGGCACACCCAACCTCCACTGTCTGTTCTGTCATTGCTTGCCTCCACCCCAAGTCAGGCCCACTCAGACACCTGGGGTCCAGGCCAGCATCAGAGTTAATCCATGTGGCTAGCAAGTTCTATTTCTTCAGCTCTGCCTCTAAGAACGGACTGCCACCAGCTATTATGATCACCTGATCTCTTGCCCATTTGTTATACTTGGAACTTGGACTTGTCCTGAAACGTGTTTCTCGGGTATAGTCCAATCAGGATGTGACCTAAGTTTAACATTTTAATCAGTCCCAACTCCAGCATGTTTACAGTCCAATGTTGACCATACAGAATAACATCTAAGGAAAGTAATTCCTTTTTAACACTTCTCTGTAACACTTCTCTGAGTATGTGAAAAGCCCCACCTGCTGGGGTCTAACCAGGAACAAAATTTGAGCAACATCAATGGTCCACTCCTTCTTTGCATGTGTACTGTTTAGGGCAGCAGAAATGATGTATAAACTAGAGGTGTGTGACTCTTTTTCCCCTCTAATTCTCTTCAACACCTTCCTATGATACATCAAAATAAACGCAAAAGGAGTATGGTGCCCATGAAAATTATTTTCTTTATTCACCATTTGGCTTTCTACCATGTACCACTTTGCAACACAGGTATTACACTAGGTTATTATTACCGATCTTGACTCTATGCATCTAACTTTTATCCAAAGAACTCAGTATGACAATGAGTTAAGGTAACAACAATTTGTGAATAGTTACATGGATGATGGCGAAAATTTGAGTGTAGAGTTCAGAGTCTTGTTTGATCACCGGATTGCACTTGCCAGTGTGGTTAAAAAAAATTAGATACACATGCACACACACACCTGCTGTGAAATACAAATCCAAACCTTAATAAAACTCATTTTACACCTTCCGGGTTGGCAAAAACAATTTTTTTTAACATTTATTTTGAGAGGGAGAGAGCAAGCGGGAGAGGGGCAGAGAGAGAGGGGGACAGAGGGTCTGAAGTGGATTCTGAGCTGCCATCAGAGAACCCGACTTGGGGCTTTAACTCGAGAACCCCCATGACCTGAGACAAAGTCGGACGCTTAACCGACCGAGCCACCCAGGTACCCCCAGGTTTGCAAAAAATACTAAGCCAGACATTACCAAATAATCGGATTGGATTTGGAACAACTGAAACATTTATTCACTGCTGGTAGACGTGTGAATCACTACAATCACTTTGGAAAACAATCTGGATTACCTCTTCAGGCTGAGCCTTTATATACATTTGATCCCACAGTTCCTTTCCCAGGTATATCCCCTGAAGACATGTTTGCAAGGGTGGACCAGGAAACCAGTGATGATCATGGCAGCACTATTTATGTAGCAAAAATACGAAACCAACCCAATTGTCCACTAATATGTATACACGTGAGTTG